AATTCGGTTTAAATCCGATCATTGGATCATAAAGAAATTAACGATAATCTTAAATTTTTATTAACTAAAAATTCCTAGCTGTTATAGATTAAGACATTTTAAATATCGTGAAAAACCTAAACAACGAATACCTTTGTGAGTAACTGTATGCACATTGTGTATACATACATACTAGAGATGGGTATGGTATTAAATATTTAGTCCCGATCATGCCCATCCCGAAATTTAGTCTTTAATTCCCGAACCCCGCCCATGCTGACGTCTTTCCGAACTATACTGTTGGTCCCGAAATCTACCACCAAGAAAAATTTACATGTCTTTCGAATTGAGTAATTTTAAATAAAGAAAAAAGAGTTCTGAGCGATCTGGCATCTTTTGATTATTTTGTTTTGATTTGCTGTTCGTTTTCGTCTCAATAAAACATGAAAAAGTGCATATTTCAAGATTTTCTTAATTTGCGGTGGTAGGAATTTTAACGCGAGTTTCGTGCAAGGATTTCGGCCCCGTCCCGCCCGCAAAATATGTATACACCTTCCCGATACCGTCCTTTCCGTCCATTTTGAAATCAGTACCGTTGGTCCCGCGGGTTCCTAAATCCCGCGCCCATCTCTAATACATACATATCACACTTCTATTTATTTACAAACTCCCTTCTTCACAGCACTGTATGTCCATATGTAGCTTTTTTATTCACATGAGAAGTTTACTTGCACTTGGCTAGTTTGGCGAGGCGAAACGAAGGTCATTAAAGACGACTGTGCGCTGAAGTCCGAGTCGCTATGGTGAAGCCAAGTGGACGAGGAAAGGTTTTTTTTATGACTCTAAGTATGAAAACAATATCGTATCCGTGTGCTGCTGCTGCAAGTGTATGTGATGGTGTTGAAAATCGTCTCATTTGTACAGAATTTAATGATCTCAACTGTGTATGTATAGATATGCCTTTAATGAGTGAGGTATCCTCACTCAGGAGCGATACAAAAATACGCCGCATTACAGTCGTATAAATTTGCGCACAATGGCTAGAACATACTGAACTGTTAGTAATGAAATTTATGAATGTGCATATGTATGTACGTTTGCAGGCATAAGCTATCCAACAAATTAAAATTGTTTATGAGCTTCTTTTCATAAGCCAGCTCGTTGAGATAGCAACTTCTGATGAGTTGGTTATAGTATTTGAGTGGACGTGATTGAAACTTCTCAAGTGCACACATTGGCTTGAGATGTGGATTTAAATTAATGATAAAATATTTTAATTAGCAGCGTACATAGACAGCAATTAAGCTGCCGAAATTTGAAAGTTCAGCCGAAATTTTGTGTGGTTATCTTTGTATAAATGGAAAATTCTATTTAATATTTTGGTTACCTAATATTTTTGCAGTTTTTAATAACATAATTTGCTCGAAATAATATCTGCAGCTGCTTTTGGTATGTTGCTATAGTTCTCTTCTACCTTTCGAAGAGGACAGTTAATTCACGAAAAGTTGGAGGAATGAAATTGGTGGATAGACTGAGCAAAAATTTGATGTTCACTTCTAACAAAAAAGTATTTCGACATGACAATGCAAAGGTAGAAGTAATTAACGTTTTCTAATTAATATACGGCAAGCCACGCTTCAGAAAGCAGTGGCAAACCTTCGGGTTTATTTCTGCCATAAAATTTGTTTACTGTTCACCACAAATTTGAGGAGAAGTTCGGTGAAAAACATATCTGTTCTCTATGAGCTTTTAGATGTCTCTCCCCTGGATATCGTTATTTTGAAAGAGGCTCAACTGTATAGTCAAATTAGTGCAATACTCGTCTCAAGCAACAATGCAGAGGATACGGAGTATGTAAATCTACAAGCTCTCACGGTTTTAGAACAACAACAAGGACTTCGCATTAGCTTCATTGTGGCCCTAGGTACATATATCTTCCGAGTTATAACTTCATTCACAACTTTCAGGTCTTTTCCGACCGATAAACTAATGTCTCTAAGACCAGGGGTCTGTCGTAAACAACCCAACAACCCTATCATTGAACAAGTTAACTCTGTCTTTCAAGCCGAACTAAGCTGGAAATGTGAGGCGCCTTGATAGCACACGATGCCACCTTAAAGCTGGTATGGGACGACCTGGTTAAATATTTAAATAATCCCGTACCCATCTCTAGTTGTGACGAAAACTCACCAAACACTATATGGGGTAGCACGAACTGCAACTTTCGTGGGAACAAGCTATTAGACTACTATAGAAGAATGTAATTAACAAAGCTACTTTTCTCACCAGTAGAAGAAAATAAGTGATTTATCTAACCTTAACCAATGAAAACTTCACAGATCATATCAAAGGAGTCTTGGAATAGAAATATATATCAGGTCATCAATTGATTGTATTTCGGACACTTGTCACGTGCCCAAAGGTCGGAACCCTCGAAGGGCGGACTGGGAGAAGTTTGGGTTGCTCCTTGAGATAAGAACACCAGATCTGCCTAAACTCAAAAACCTTAAATCAATTGAAGAGGTGACGGACCAGCGAGGTAACGAGTAAATTTATTGGTGGTGTTGAGGAAGTATGTCCGCTAAGTAAAAGCAGACAGGAAAAATCGGTCTCATGGCAGAGTGTTGAACTTATCGGACTTCGAAAAAGGTCCAGCAGACTTCTGAATAGGACTTTAAAAAACCGAAAAGAGGAGGACTGGTCCGAATATCATAATTTGTAGTATTTAGGCATATTAGGCATTTCATGTCACCGCGGCGGTAGAGGGCTTCGGGTGTGCAAATTTGTTGTAACGTAAGGAGTTGAAGACTTGCTCTAGCTGCTAGTCTCTTAAAATTTCCTCCAATCCCGTCGCAAGCAGATTTCCCATGTGAACGTGCAACAAAGTTCAATTGTGCCATTTCCTTGAAGGGATTTTCGTGATTTCAGACCCTCTAGTAAAGTTAGTATGATTTATTCATATTGTTTTTATTTTTGGCACACCTTTCCTCTTTCAAAAATATAAAATTTCATGAAATTTCTATGTATATTTATCATATTGCTCGAGCGTTAGACGATTTAGAGTCCATACGCTCATTTGGGTACGTAAAGTTGACATTATAGGCAATGTTTTTATGTAAAAAAAAAAAAATTTAAAAAAATGCTATAATAAAAAAAAAAAAAAAAAAAAATTTTACTTCTTTTTTGTTTTTCTTTATACGCTGCACATTAATGTAAACAATTTCTAATTAAAGCCCATAATAGGACAGAAGAAATATATACTTTTTTTATTAAGTTTAAAAGGTTTCCAAGATACAGAACTTTACAAAAAGGTATGTATGACGTTTTCTTAAATTTTAAGTCCCTTGTAAATAGGCAACCCTACGTCATATTGGCAAAATATGCTACACGTATACTCATGCCATCTAGACCTTCAATTTCTTCAACTTTCATCTAAAACCTTAGAGGTCGCGCACAGAGGCGGCCGTGGTGACATGAAATGCCTCATATAAGTGGTCTCGTTTCTTCCAAAAAAATGTTGCCCTTCCCTGGTACAAAATGTGTTTAATGTAACACTCAAGCCTGTAAAAGGGCAAGGTTTTTGCCTTATTGTCCCTGTCTACCTCACGCATCTGATAATATTGTCGTTTTAAGCAAGCATATGATTTTCTTGGCAACCATCTCCCCTAAGAAAGCTTCAATGGGCAAAGAATGTGCCTCTTTTCCCTTAGGAGAGTGTGACATTTTAAGAAACAACACACAAAATTTTCCCACCGTGTGCCTCTATTTCAGAATCGAACACGAAAAGAGAACAGGGCAATCAAAAGGCGACATTTTTTGGTAGAAACGAAATCACCATTAATTGATACATAGAAACATTTTAAGTATATCAAATTATTTTATTCGCTTCGAGTTGAAAGTATTGTACGTGGTCGAATAACGCATGACGATTTGAGCTTTAAGGCACCTACTGTGTGAAGGATTCTCGGAGTAAATCTGAGTAAATAATGCCAAAGAAGGAGTGAAGTACGGTAGCTTACTAAGCTTAGCATTCGATTGATTTCATAACATACGAAAGAATGAGTTTCTATCAGAATTCATACTTAACACAAAACAAAAACTATGGGATTTCACCCAATTGTGTTGCGTATAATTCGTCCCTTATAATTCGTCTAATTTCCAGGGTATCTTGGAAGCCCTCGACAAAAGAGATATCTCGATATACTCTGCATACTAGAACGGCTGAAGTGTATTTACTAAGGCAAAGTAATTTTTTATTCGTGCACACAACTCATCGTCCAAACTTGAGGAATCTGCGATCTGTGTGACACTGGTTTAAGAGAATTCCGACTAGAACTCATTCCGAGAGTAGAAAGCGACCTTGCAGTGATGGATTCCAGACATTTGCGATTAGATGATGAGAAACCAACTTAGCGAGAACCGCATAGAAAGAATCAGATTTTTATAGCTATACCAGTAGATACCAGACTTCTTGTTCGTACTGTCCAATGTCACACCTGAGTTGATGGGTAATTCAATAAGTCTTTCCAAATCAACACCCGTACATCCCTTCGACTTTCTTAAATCAAAGAGATCAAAAGTTAAATATTGTCGGTCGATGCATTCCTTTCGGGAAAAATCTACGTCGAAAACTGTAATAACGAAATACTCGAACTCAAATTTTCAAAATCCACTTTTTCGTCGCTTTCGTTTTTTAAAATCAATTCAAACAACAGAAATAATGATCGTACGTCGTCAAAAGGATCTGAGTACTTTTTTCCTAAAACGTCTATTAGCTCTCCAATAGAGACATCAGCTGACAACCAACACTTTGTGCTCCGCTGAGCTTGACGCATACATGGTGCAAGCCGAAGCCTTTTCAACATTCTTTCTTTTTAGTTTTTCCAGTGCACTTCACCATTCCGGCGGCTTGCTTGCATACCAACACTAAATAGGTATTGGTTGCCACTTATTCCATGCAAACAATTTGATTTGTCAAGGCTAACTTTAACTGTAATGCCGTAAAACCATTTATCACTCACCTGTAACGAAAACGCGAGCCAAGTTGAAATAAATCCGAATTATTCGACTGCGAATTCGGCAATGGCGCAATGCGCACCATACGAAAGAAGGCGTGATGTTCCACACAGCAGCGCCACAAATGTTTGCAAGCAGATTTGCGTGGCGTTTCAAAGCCATAAGTGCTGAGCTCATTCTGTATGGGTAAGAAAAAAGTAAATAAATAAAAGAATAGGAAAAGGAGTTGTAAGAGAATTGAACTAAAGAAAGTCTAAAGATTTATTTGAAAGAAGTGTTTGTGTAAATACTTATGTATGTATGTTAAGTACGAATACGTATGTATGTATGTAAATCACGCACGAATGTATTCTAATGTTAAGGTTATACATAGTAGTTGTTGGTCTAGAAAAATGTTTTAAAATATTTATTATTGCTTTATTTTCATAACTAACATAGTTAATCCAAGTGGCTTGGCCGCTTTACATAAGTGTTTGCATACTAGTTTTTTACCACACATTAAAACTCCATTTGGATTGCTGGTGCGCGGCCCATCCACATGATAAGAAACTCTAATTGCGGTCGAACCAAGCTACCGCTTCTTTTAACTGCAATCTCACATTTGCTGAATGAATGAAATTGTTTTCATATGTATTATTCAAGTGCGGCACTTCGCAGAGCAGAATCGGCTACGACTACCTTATATGACTTCTCCTTGTGTGCTACTCTTTCACGCGAATAATGAAATGTGCTAGTATTCGACGCGAAAAGGAATAGGTGTTACTATTCATAAGGACCCAGACTTGGTGACACAAATTCGCAGCGACCGCATATTTCAGAAGTAAAATCCTCTCTCGACGTGCGAAAAATACACTCTATAAGTTACTAGGTCGTTCGAATGAACTTCGACGCTCCAGTTCTGAAAGTATTCAATTCGGAACCCGCTGCAGCGCGTTGGTGGAAGTAGAGGAAGAGGGAGACCCCTACTGCGATGGAAAGACGAAGTGCAGAATGAGTTGGCTTCACTGGCTTGATTTGTTGAACTCTGCCAAAATAGCTTAGTCGGTTACAACGTCAAATAAAAAGAAGAAGAATATTTTGATACGATTTTACAGTATGCTTTGCAAAATTTGGTTTTGGCACTGTGCTGCGGCATTTTTGAGTGAATAAAAAAGAAATTTTCACAAGAAATGATGAAAGTTCTCAACAAAATACATCATACCGCCGCACTATCGGACTAGCCGACAAAAGCGAAGTAGGAAACACAAAGAGAATAAGTAATTGCGATTATCGCTTAAAAAAAAAATGTATGAATATTTCGAACCGTGGAGCTTAGCTTTACTAACTACCCAAATACTCTGCTCACTATGCCAACGAAGCAAATGAGTTTTCGTTGAGTAGGACTAATTAATGCCCAATTGTACTCCGTGGAGACCAATCTGATTCTCTTTAGAGACTATGTAGTCGCACGATTTTTAGCAGGAATATTTTACATTGCCAGCAATAATTGTTCGCGTATTATGTTAGATGTACAGCATTACAGAAAAAAATCAAATCCTCTATGGCCCTAACACGGATTTTTCTATGCAATAAAAAATGCAAGTGCCTTTCAAAATATGCCCACTACATACATCCTTTTAAATATAAAAGTATTTATATACTTGTATGTATGTAGTATGTACATTAGACTGTATCACCGCCGGGCTTACAAAATTTATTAAATTTTAAGACGTCCACCAAAAATATTTCGGAAAAACATTAAGATTTACGTGAGCTGGACCGATTTGAAAATACCACCAAAAATGGGGTTTGTTATGAATAAAAAAAGTTTCTTAAAGAAATTTTTGAAAAAGTCCTCTCATATGGAAAAACAAATTAGGCTTAAAAATTCTGCATAAAAATATTTTAAAATCTTTTCCACGAAATCGTAATAATGAAATTTTTGATGCTGGTATTTACTTTTTTCAAAGATTGATTTACGAAAAACTTGAATAACTGGGCCAAAACTATTCTGATTTAGACTTGAGGGATCTCAGTAGAAAGGTGTTTTCCCACTATTTTTATTTCTGTGGAAAAAGAGTCATTCGTGTACCAATTTATTTACTTATTTTTTTTTACAAATAGAAACACCTCTTTATTAAACTTTGAATGACGTTCGTTCATCCATCCTACCTTTCTCTTTCATCCTTTGAATGTGTTTATTAGCAAAGAAATTAGAAGGTTGAGAAAATACCCTTCAATGATACCTCACAAGTTTTTTTTATACCAATCTTTGAAAAAAGTAAAAACGGCATCAAAAATCTCATTATTACGATTCCGTTCGAATTTTTTTTAAATGTTTTTAAAACATTTTTACGGAACTTTTTTAAGCTTAAACCGTTCTGTCATTTAAAGGAATTTTTTCCAAAAAAAAATCTTTAAGAAACTATTTTTATTCATAAAATACTCCATTTTTGAGGGTATTTTCAAATTTTTTCAAAATATTTTTGTGGATGTCTTAGAACATAATGTGTTTTATAATTCCAATGGAAACGCAGTACGGATTTTTTTGTATGGGGAGTGAAGCAGTCTATTGTACATACATACATATAAACCAACTAATCTTCACAGCTTTCAAATACATACATATATAGTTAGTATTGTGAATGTAAGCTTTATTTCCTATACATATTTACATATGTATGTATGCTCTCAGTCAATAAAGATTTTCTTCGACTCTTTTCAACAACTCAAGATGAATGCTTCAATTGCAAAGAAATCCCATTCAACAAATATATTTCAAGTGTTTTTATGTTTGCAAGCAAAGTCAAGCGAATTCTTAAGCTACGAGTATTTCACGCAGCCTGCAAACTGTATGTACGCACCTTCAGTGTAAACAGCGCGCTTTTAAGGCTTTTCAGCGCATTATTTTGAGCGTAAAATGCTCTGACACTTTGGCAAAGACGGCGACACATTTTAATATAGACGATGATACATATGTTTGTAAGTATGTATATTGGTTTTAGTTTTTTAAGGAAAAGGAAATATATATTTTTCAAAGTAAGTAGTGTTGCCATTTCGGTAGAAATTTAGCAAATTTGGTGGAATATT